AACATTAGGATCATGACTGAGAGGGCATTCGCTTGTGCAGGAAGCATTGTTCCCCGTTGACGGGTCGACGTAGGTGAAGTTCATTATGCCGTTCAATGGAAATGCAAGAAATCTAAACGTCTTGGTGCCGCGACCTTCCTGGTGAGTGTTGTACAGCCGCAGCTTGGTAGGTTGGAATGTGAATCCGAAATCGGCCTCCCAGGTGGCGGGAAGGTTGTCAGCTGCGAGCCAAGTGCTGCCAGGTCCGTCCGTGCCTGCCGAGCATACAATGTTTGTGGGATCGCTGAATCCATTGGTGGTCGCACCATTCGTGGCGGTAACCTTGCCGCCAGATAGATTGATAATTTGGCTATCAGGTTGTTTCGGGGTGGAAGTGTTTCCTAGACCGGTAAAGCTACCCCCAAAGACAATGTGACCATTCGAGGTCTTGGAAATAGCATTGACCTGACCGTTGAAGCCTGCAAATGGCAGATTTGACCAGCCGTCTGCGTCCGTCCAGGCGATTGCATTGGTGGAGTTTGAAGCCTTGAAATTGCCACCAACATAGACAGTTTTCCGACTGTCGTCGCAATATAAAGCATTAACTTCACCCTCCAGACCCTTCAGAGGCGTAATCTCGGTTGTATTGGGGTTAAAGAGAGCGATTGCTGTTGATCGCGTCCCGTCAATACTCGTGAAGTTGCCGCCGATAACCACTCCCTTCAACTTGCCGTTGTCGTTATTCAATAGGCACATTGCTCGAATAGACGCATCAGTAGACACAATGGGTGCCAAGGCGCCATTTGGAAGTCGGGCGAGGAGGGCTTCGCTGCCATTTGTGGGGAGGGGTTTTGAAATTTGGCCCTCGTACTCGTATAGGGAGATGCCATTGAAGTCGCCAGCAATTGCTATTCTGCCCAGATTAGAAAAGTCGAGATTCGCGGGTGGCGCCGGATTAAAATGAATGGCTTCTGAAAAGATTGGACCAAACGCCGCCAGAGTGAGAAAGATTGAGTAGATCGTGGAGGCAGGCGGACGCCTTGGGCGGTGCTGGCGGAAGGGCAACCGCATGGCGATGATGACCCGCCTGCGCGGTCGGGAACGGGATGGTGTCGACGAGAAGGAATGGAAAGTCGTTCGGGGTCGAGATTCGGGGACAAAATGAGTGCGAGAAAAAGTTAGAGTTGTGAGGGACAGGATGGTTGAGTCGATGGTTGTGATGCAGAATCGGGCATGGCAATTTTCTCGAGGTAACTCCTAAATTTGGAAAACGTTCAACGCAGTGGTCGGAACGCGACTTGGGTGCCAGAAGAAGTCAATCACACCAAGCGCGACACAAACAAGAGGGACGAAGAGAATCGAGATAACGAAAATTAACGAGAGTATCGGTGAGAATAGCGAAGGAAATGAGGTCGGTAGCGCAAGACGGCAGCGGCAGAAGCAATCTGTCGCCTGTCGCTGGTGGTTTCCCCCTCGCCTTGGATGAGTTTGGGAGTTGGAATTGTGCTCGATGGAACAAAGGATGGCTGGGCTGATGCGGCTGGGTTGACTGCCAAGGTGGGCACAAAGAATGTGGGAAATTGCAGAGGTTGTTGTGACCGCCAGAATTGCAGGGGTCACTAGTCCAGAACAGAACGTCAGCAATGGGTCAGGGCAGTGCAGAACGACAGGGTCGCACAACAAGGTCCAGATGTCAAGGCTTCAATGCACCACCGAGCACAGAGTCAGGTTCTGTGGTCTGTGTGGAACACGTCGCTGGATGGACAGTTGACGGAGAAATGTACATACCAAAAGTGTTGCATGGTGCTCTGCCTCCGCCGATGTGATATCAATTAGAAGCCGACGAGCAGGGTCCGTGACAGAGGCTTCCAGATGTACATATAACTACTACCATAGTGCACAGCACAAACGACTAGGGGTAGAAAATGGAGTGTAGTACAGCACGGCCGCCCAATGGCCCAAAGGATATTCTGTGACAACCGCTGGAGCACTTTGAGTTGAAAACTGGTGGCTGAAGATGCTTGCTTGGCTTTGCCAGCCATCTTCAAGGTTCAGCGCCTTGTAGTTACTCTGTGCGCCGTACAACTTGCGGCGACAAAGAGTACCTTGGTACTTAGTAAGCAGCGCATTGACGAGTCTATGAGGAGGGAGAGAAGCTGCTCCAACGCTCATGGTCTAAATAGACCCTGCGTTCTCCTCGGGTCGCAGTCGTTGCTTCTTATCCATTTCGCGCTCTCTCGTGGCTCGTCAACATGCAATAGAACAGCTGACGCATGCGTGCAGGCTGGATGCTCCTGTCTGTGCAAGTCGGTGTTGAGTTCTGGCTAAGTTGTAGTGCCTGAGTATTCGTGGTACCTCGCAAACTCGCACTAGTTGGCCCTATCAGGGGAGTGTCGCAGATGTGACCCACTACACTGCCAGACAAAAATATTCACACAGAGTAAAGTATAAATCTTTTAGCTGCACGAGTACCTTTTTGTCAATTCCTTGCGGAAACACGGGAGCAATTGCCATGTGGGGCCAGGGGCAACCAACGTTCAACAGCCTTGGAACCTCGTGCCTGACCATCACGCCGAGGACTGCTACAACATGCGGAGGGCTCTGTACCCTTTCGCCAGTTGAGTGAGAGGAAATTGACCTGTAAACTCGTAACGAACTACCGAGTACGGAGTAAATACTGCTGCATTGGACCCCGAGACATGTGGTCGTGAATCCATTCGCTCGAGCTGCGCGAAAGTGCGTTCTTCTGACGCTCACCGTGGAGAGCGGAGGCGTGCACCCTCCCACATTCTACCTCTGTAGAGCCGCCTAAAACGGTCTTATGAGGTCAGAGGTGTCAAAGTGACGACGAATCTTCTAACGTGTACATACAATGACCGCTGGCCAGATACAAACTTGCGGATGGAAAGGGGTCCTATGAATAGTGACCGTTTTTGTTTTGGCATCCTTGCGCCCCTCACGCCACGTCAACGTACTTCTTACTTTGCAGGTACCTGCTAGGTAGTATGTATTACTTGAGGAGGAAGGACTCCGTAACTACAAGTGCCTTTGCAACTTGTGCGTGGGTGAGTTTGTGACTACTTTTACCCCAAGCAAGTATACACGGCCATATACCTTGGCGGTCATACAACTTGTCTCTGATCCTCGTCCACTTGCAAACATCATACCATCTCTAGTGCTGTACATTTGTCCATATGACTGCACAACGTTATCGTGCCACGTTTGACATACTAAAATGAGTTCTGTATCGTGACAGCCTCGGACTAGCTTTCCGAACGACTTCGTGACAGCCACGCCTTGCTTGGTCCATACCAGACGCCACAACACCCCAGACTTTGTTCCTTGTCTACCCCCTACATACCAGGACTGTTCGATGGCCGTATTTCAGGGGCGATCTGAGGACGTACGTCCAGAGAACGGGCTCGCAAGGTGGTGTCACACCGCCGGAATCTGCGACGTTGGCTCAAACATCAGACAGAAGAATTGCCGTTTTAATAACCATCAAGGCAACCCATTCTCCAGGATATGCAGCGATCGTCTTATATAAATGGCCAAGTAGTAGAACCCAAGTGTGGCGGCGCGGTACCCTTTCCTCTAGAGTCGCTTCTGTAGTAGCATCACTTCTTGATTGCTTTCAAAAAAACCACGCATTTAACTAGGCGTTTGAGTGTTGTAGTCCGCTGTCGATTCACTCATTCGGGTTTTGCTGCTCCTGATACCGAGACTTGTACTCCCTAGGGCTTTCAAACTCGCCCGCTTTTCCAGACCACATGCCCTTCCGCTTCCTCTTCGCCTTGGCTTCGGCCCTTTCATATACAGCCTTCAGCCCGCCGTATTCCGCACCCGATTTTGCCTCGTAAGTTGTAGCTAGACCACGTTTAACCAATTCTAAGCCAACATTTCTGCGTATAAGAAACCGACGAACGTAGACCGTCGCAACAATACGATTGTACTGGTCACGCCTGTAGATATATGCCCGCACATTCCGGTGTAGAATATAGTCAGATAACCACTTCTGTGCTTCGGCGGCAAATGGCTGCGCTGGCCGTCCAAAATGTGCTCCTTCCGGGGCATCGACGCCAGCAATACGGACCGATATCTGCACGCAAGTTAGTTCAGACCTTTGGGATGATTGCCTCTATTCCACAAAGAGACCTACTGTTCGGTCCTTGAGTTCCTTCCTGGTTTCAGGAACCTTTCTCAGCCACCCCCAGCCCACGGCTTTACCACCTGGTGTATGAAAGAGATGGAAACCATCACCATCACCAACTCCCGTGACCCTGCCAAAGAGGCTTCGGGTGCGGAAAAATGATGGGCGAATAAAGGCTGCACCTGGAATCCGACGAAGGTAATTTGCGTAGAGTTGCAGGGCGCCTAGTCCGACAAGAGAGAACCCTACTACTGGCGCCCATTCTTTGGCCGCATCCAAGGGATCGGCCTCGGCTCGTCCTAGAGATTCAGACCATGGCACTGGGCGTTTTGTCGATTCAACTTCGTCCTTGGGGTCTTCTGATGTCGATATTCGCGATCCAAACGGCCACACCATCCTGAATTTCGACCCGGAGGCCGACTGGCCATGTGCTTGTCCACGGTTCTTAGCAGGTAGAAAGCGTCCAGACGTGGATCAGAGCCGTCAACGGTGTATGAGTGGCAGCTAGCTGTCCGGCTGCCTGAGGCTATGTTACAGGGACGATCACCCCACTCCACCCACTACAGCATTAGTGACCTCGTAACTGTATTCGGTGCACTGGCACCAGACGCCAAGATACTCAGGGTTACAAGCTGGCTTATAACAGGAGTTTGCCACCCAGTAACAACAGCAAGTAAATACCTACCCAGTAGGTAGGTAACTAGATGATACTCGCATGCTATTTATTACCAAGTACGAAGAGGCAATCTTTGGGTGGCTCGTTTTTATTGAACTTCGTTTACAGCTGCTGTTCTCTACACTTGACAGATGCTGTCTCTACTGCGCCAGCCATCGATACGCGTAATATGCTTGCTTCCACAAGCCTCTCTCCTTAGCTTCCTTGGACCCTGAATGATCGTCCGCTTGCAGTCTTCCTCTCTTTTTCCTCGTTGTCGGGGCGTGCACGGCGCAGCACTATGAGAAAAGTAAGCATTGGTTGCAGCTAGTGCAATTTGGGAATCCGAACCTTGAAGGAAGTCTGCCGTTCGCTTCCTCATACGTGAGTGAATATAGGCCTTGGATGCTTTGATGTGGTAGTGGAAATAATCTCGGAAAGTCTGGATATGCGAAATAACAATTGGCATCCTTTGGGGGGTCAAGTGTCTTGGGAAAAGTACTGTGCCTGTCAGCGTCGTATTGTGAGCAAAGGAGACAGTGTCCACGTACCAAATGTGACATAGCCAATCTCTCCGGTGCCAGTGTTCTGTACACCAGGAACTCCCTGCAGTTCCAGAGGCGGATCGTTTCGGAACAAGACTTGCGGAGCATTCTGAATAGCTCTCCTCCGAGCATCGACAAATTCCTGAATGAACACCTTGCCAAACACCCTGTCTGTTTCCTCTCGGAAGACCGTGCTGAAAATGACGGTCACTCTGTCGTGGCTAGCCTTCACGTAGATCGCTTCTTCTTCTCGGTAGCGGATCGCCTTGACCTGTCCACCTTCCCGGACACCTTGAGGGGCCTCTTCGGAAGTGAATTTTGATGCCTGTTCTTTCAGCTCATAATGCTCCTGGTAAGCTTGCTCAAAAGGAGCTGCCATCGCATTTCGCTTTAGAAGAGCAAATTTCATTGCAAGCGCGTCGCGCTCCTCTAAGCGCGTATTGTTAGAACTTTATCGAATAGCTAAATTCCTTCGGGAATAGTTGCGATTCGCACCTCTCTCCTCAGGTAGATTCTCGAGGTCAATGAGCACGGAGAAGTCGTAACCAGGCTCCACTGGTGCGACATATTGACCATATTCTCTCTGAAGAACCTGCTCCGCTCCATATTGAACTAGATCCTGGAAACATCTTATTTGAATAGAAAGGAGAATTTTAGTCTTTGTTTCGGGAGTCGAGATATGGAAGGTAACGCCATCGAAGTCGGAGACGGTCTGGTCGATGGAAGCAGGAGGGGCTCTGGTGAACATGGTTAGTTATTTATGGAAAATTAGCTAGCGCAAGTCCTGACGAACCCGGAGAACCTTTCGGTAAGAACCGATTGGATTAATACGTTCTGGTAATCAAGGAGAAGCATCGTTGCGAATGTGTTTGCAGTTCGCGAGATCTGCCTGCTCCTCCCGGCGTCTGAGCTGTTGACGACACATGGTGGGGCTGAGCAAGTGCGGGATGGCCATCAAGCTGCCGCGAGAGGTGAGCGGCCACGTGATGAGATAGTTGCAAGAGGCGGTCCACAGCGCTATCGATAAGCAAAAAAATATCCCACTCCAAAGGACTGGTCACGGTGAGGATGGCATCCCAGAATTGTTGGACAGTGATAGCACCAATTGACCTTGCGATTTTGCGACAATGGTGAAATCGTACCTGTAAGTGCTTAATTATACGCCTAACTCCATCTGAAAATAGAAATTTGACCCTTTATTATTAGAAAGTACGAGCACGCCAAGTCGTTTGGGGTGATTACGACCAACACCTCAAACATTCTCTGGGCCGCCAAAGACCGGACCAGTAGTGGCGCTGGACAAGCCGTCGTCGCCGCGAACGAAGAAGTTCTCTGCTGGGATATAAAAAGGGGAGAGCTTATCAGTAGATGGAGGGACGAACGGTGTACAGTTTCTGTGACTGCAATCGCGCAGAGCAAGGCAGACAAAGACGTCTACGCCGTCGGATACGAGGATGGTAGTATTCGACTCTGGGACAGTAAAATTCCGACGGTTATTGTTAATTTCAACGGTCATAAGTCCGCTGTTACGAAGCTGGCATTCGACAATTCTGGCGTACGACTTGCCAGTGGCTCCAAGGATACCGATGTCATCATTTGGGATCTGGTCGCTGAAGTCGGCCAATTTAAACTCCGCGGACACAAGGATCAGATCACTGGCCTCCAATTCATCGAGCCCAAGTTTCAAGTTGAGAATGATGACGGATCACCCGCAATGCTCTTGAATAATGAAAACTCGTCGGATGGCTTCCTACTCACGACCGGCAAGGATTCTTTGCTTAAACTTTGGGACCTCTCATCAAGACACTGCATCGAAACACACATTTCTCAAACCAATGGCGAATGCTGGGCCTTGGGTGTTTCTCCCGATGTAAGCGGATGCATCACCGCAGGAAATGACGGCGAGATGAAAGTCTGGTCCCTTGATACTGAAGGTTTAGCCGCCAGCACCCGGCAGGTCGATATTTCTGCGGCCGCCCATTACCTTCATGACCGTGGAATCCTCCACAGGCAAAGCAAAGATCGAGCAATCGAGATTATTTTTCACCCACAGCGAGATTACTTTGCCGTCCATGGCTCCGAGAAAAGTGTTGATGTGTGGAGGATCAAATCCGAAGCGGAAATTAGAAAGAGTCTAGCACGAAAGCGACAGCGACGCAGACTAAAGCGGAAGGACAGCGAGGCCGAAGACCGTATTGCCGAAAATGGCGATGGAGCCAATGAGGATGTTTCGAAAGCGGACGTCGGCGATGTCTTTGTTCAGTATGTTATTCTCAGAACCGGGGGCAAGGTCCGCTCAGTTGATTGGGCAATATCCAGCAATCAGAAGGACTTGCAATTGTTGGTGAGCACAACAAACAACCAACTGGAGTACTATAGTATCCCTCACAAGGAGAAGATTGAGCGCAAGAAAAAGGATGACATCCCTGACTATACTCGCGGCTTAGCTGTAGAACTGCCGGGACATCGAGCTGACATCAGAGCATTGTCCCTGAGCTCGGATGATAAAATGCTTGCCTCGGCAGCCAACGGTTCGATGAAGATTTGGAACATCAAGACTCAAGCGTGTATTCGTACATTTGAGTGTGGCTACGCTCTTTGCTGCGCGTTCTTGCCGGGTGACAAAGTGGTTGTCGTCGGCACGAAGAGTGGTGAACTGCAATTATTCGATGTTGCATCAGCATCACTGCTCGATGCTGTGCAGGCACACGAGGGTGCCATTTGGAGCCTTAGCGTCCATCCTGATGGACGATCCGTTGTTTCTGGCAGTGCCGATAAGACGGCAAAGTTTTGGGAGTTCAAGATTGTCCAAGAGGAGATTCTTGGCACGAAGAGGACAACGCCCAAGCTGAAACTTGTTCAGTCACGCACTCTCAAAGTGTCTGATGACATTCTGAGTCTCAAATTTTCTCCCGATGCGAAGTTGCTTGCGGTGGCCCTGCTAGACAACACGGTCAAAGTCTTCTTTGTAGACTCGCTAAAGCTATACCTCAACCTCTACGGTCACAAGCTTCCCGTCCTGAGCATGGACATCTCTTACGACAGCAAGCTTATTGTTACGAGTTCAGCAGATAAGAATATAAGAATATGGGGGCTGGATTTCGGTGATTGCCACAAAGCATTGTTTGGTCACCAGGACAGTATCCTGCAAGTCGCCTTTGTCCCACACAATTCCGACGGCAATGGCCACCACTTCTTCAGCAGCAGCAAAGACAGGACCATTCGATACTGGGACGGAGACAAGTTTGAGCAGATTCAGAGACTGGACGGCCACCACGGTGAAATCTGGACGATTGCTATCAGCCACACCGGAAACTTCCTCGTGAGTGCTGGTCACGACAAGAGCATCCGGGTTTGGGAGGAAACCGACGAGCAAATCTTTCTCGAAGAGGAGCGAGAGAAGGAAATGGAGGAGCTTTACGAAAGCACATTAACAACCTCCCTCGAAAATGACCCCGACGCCGAGGACGAGAATGGCGAAGTAGCTGCGGCAACAAAACAGACAACAGAGACGTTGATGGCTGGTGAAAGAATACAAGAAGCCCTAGAAATGGGCATGGCCGACCTGAACCTTATGAAAGAATACGAGGAAGCAAAAATCACGAACCCTCACGCCCCCCCGCCACAGCGCAACCCCGTCTTCCTCGCTCTTGGCAACATCACCGCCGAAGTCCACGTCATGTCAGTCCTGCAACGCATCAAGGCATCTGCCTTGCACGACGCATTGCTCGTTCTGCCATTCGCCACCGTCCCGATACTTTTCACATTTCTCAACATCTTTGCCATGCGGTCCATGAACATCCCCCTGACGTGCCGCATCCTCTTCTTCATGATCAAGACTCACCACAAGCAAATTGTAGCAAGTCGCACAATGAAGTCTATGATGGACGGGATACGCACAAACCTGCGAGCAGCGCTGAAGAGACAAAAGGATGAAATGGGAGTTAATATTGCCGCACTCAAGGTTGTGGGCATGCAACTCCGCGATAAGAGTATCAAGGACTATGTTGATGAGAAGTGGGAGGATGAGAACCCGGAGAGGAGTGCGAAGAAGCGGGCCTTTGTACATGTAGCATAAAACAGAAAGGCATATGGGTAGTAGTGTATGATTTGCTTGAATAGGGTAAATTTATTCCATTACCAATAAAATAAATAAATAAATTTGATCACCATCAATTTTTTCAACCCCCAAAAGGTGGAATCAGAATCCAGAGCAAGTCAAAGGCAATCATCACGTGATGTGGATGGATCTCAGCAGCTCGCAAGGCGCGATACACCGTAGTCCCAGAACAAGAATATCAACCACCTCGCCAAAAGAAAGAAGAAGAAAAGAACGACAAATATCGCCCAAGTTCCAGAGAGTTGTACCCAGGGCGCGCCAAGGACTCTCCTTCAAATCTCGGCAAAAATATTAAATCCGAGGACCTAGAGCTTCCTCGACGCTGCAGAACACACGAGACTTACTTCCATTCTCAACACCTCCATCCCAGTGAACCCCAAACCATGCTATTCTTCAGGTAATCCCACCCTTTCGCCCCCCTTCCCGGGTGTATCTCTGCCACGCCGCAAGTTGACCTCTACTTTCATTGAATCTCTTTTATTTTTTGACCTTGGATACATCTTATTTGAGCGCAAGGACGGTCCTAACCTGAAAGGCAGTTTCTTCAAAACCCTCATTGACCATGAAGTCACGGTGGAGCTCAAAAACGACATCCAGCTCAAAGGGACGCTCAAGAGCGTAGACCAGTACCTCAACATTAAGCTGGACGACATTTCTGTCGTGGAGGAGCTAAAATACCCTCATCTGGTGCGTACTTTCTGCCGGCGGCACCCGCGCCCGGCTTATGTGTGCAGCCCTGCCCTGTCTGCCAATGCTAGCTTAATGGAAAGGGGGGGGGGCACCTGTGTGGCACTGGACTGACGGGTAGTTAGAGCTCGGTCAAGAACGTCTTCATTCGAGGCTCGGTTGTGCGGTATGTTCATTTGCCGGCTGGGTCGGTAGATACGCAGCTGTTGGAGGATGCAACGCGGAGAGGTAAGCTTGTTCTTTTGTTTTTGCGATGTAGCGGTCCATATTTTGCTGACCGTGCTGCAGAAGCTGCTGCTCAGCAGGCCAAGGCTAGGTGAACTGGGTTCCTTTTGAGTGGTTCTTGAAAGCATGGGGATGCAAGTATTTGTTTGGGCCTCGCGGCTTGGACACGGGCAGGGGATGTGAATGGGCTTGTGACAACCAAGGCAACGGCGTTGAGTCTAAAATTGATAATGGACTAATGACACTTATTCTACCCATTCAAACGTATGTGTGTATGTATCCAACCATCATCATACTCTCCTGCGATCGCTACTCATGCATGGAATAATTTACCACCAGGCCCCTCCTCCTTTCCCAGACTTATCTCCCCACAAGCACATCTTCTCGTCTTCAGGATCATCCTTTCCTTCTATTAAGGGCTGAAGAAGACCACCCCGCCGTCTCTCAGATGCCCACCGGTCCAGCCATCCCTTCATTCTCTTTCTCGACTGCTCACTGCCTACATTCACCGTAGGGATGACTTTTTCTATCCTCAAGCTCATTATAAACATGGCGAGCTCTCGAAAACTACTATGTTCCGAGTAAGGAACTCCAAAACACATGGCTTCCTTGGTGCTGCCCCTCTGCGCGACAAAATCTTTATAACCAAACCTCGATCTCCAACCCTTGCCATGGAGGATCTGTTGTGTTTGTATGCTAGTTGGCGAGGCATCAGCTGACATTTGCTTGCTATTTGGAGGTCGGTAGTTCCAGCCACTGGGGCGAAACCCCACGATACGACTAAAGTGCCCCTTGTAGCCATTCAGATATTCTTGCAGAGTCTCTGCGCGAATTTCCATGAGTGACTGCATGTGAACTTGGGCTTCCACAGGATTGGACGTGAGGAGTCCGGCTAATTCTGGGTCGTCGAGCTGTTTGCAGATTTTTCTTTTACGGGGAATGGCGAATATCTTGCTCTTCAATGCCTTGGCAATTGCGACGCATATTCGCTCCTTTCCAATGGAATAGGTGCCGCAGATTACGAGAAGTCGTTGGCCCAACTTGGATGATGTCTTGGCCTCGACGGCGTCGTTACTTTTCGTGGTACTTTGAAAATACTTGCTGACTGCTTGCGTCCCTTTTTCCTTGGCACCCTTCTCCCAAAAGTCATCTTTACAGGTAGGATCTGGAGATAGTGATGCGCACAAATCGGCACAGGCTTTGATGACGTCAGCCTGTGGTGGGAATGAATATCTCGGGTTAAGGTACGTGGTATCCAAATAGCATATGTCAATGGTTTGCTGGCTCAGCTTGCCTGTGATTGCATCTTGAATGTCTGGTTTGATAAGTGGATGGGTTACGTGAGCTGGGCAAGCTCGGAAGTCGCCACAGTGAAGAATCCGCTTGCCTCGACTATTGGTGTTGTTGTCGGCAGGCTTCTGAAAGAGAAATAGTGAGCTGCCGGGGCAATGGTTGGCCGGTATCATGGTGACCGTGGCGCCGACTGTTCCTGGAACATCGTAGGATTTCTCAAAGTCTAATTCTACTACCCATTTTGCAGCAGTTCCAAGTTGCTGCTTCACTAAGCTTCCGGTCACCTTGCTGCAATATATTGGCCCATGCATCCAGTTTGCTGTCAGGCCGATATAGTGGTCGCTATGAAAGTGACTGAGGAAGTACGCCTCACATCCCTTTACAGCCCCATATCGGAAAGCATCAACGCAAATGTTAAACCCGGGTATGATTTTATAAAATGGACATGTTCTCTCGTAGGCTGGACGACCCCTTGAAGCGTTCTCGGCTGCCGCTGCCGCCACCCAGGCGGAATCTTCGGCTTTATTTGACATGAGCTTTGAAAAAGCAGACTTTGCCCCCTTTCCGTCATTTTCTGACTCAAAAGGGTCTGCCTGTCCGGGTCGTGGGATTGCGGCCCGTGCAAATCGTTTGCTTATTACCGTAGCTTCAATCTCAGGCGGTGGCGATGCAGCTGTTGGGGGCTCGTGTTCCGGTAAGGGTATCGGATTGCCGTCGAGACATGAGTTGACGTGTTTGGTCGCTTCGTCCATTGAGACGCCTTGAAGACTCCCATTGCAGATTGGACATGTCTGAGCCGCAGAATCATCTTGAAAAGAATCTTGACCGAAATCTTCAGGTATGGCTGTTCCTGCTTCCTGAGCTTCCAGTCGAGCTTGTTCCCGCATGTATCTCATCTCCCGCATTTCCTCGCCTTCAAACTCTGTAAAGTTCAAATCATCTATGTCGCCAAAGTTCTCGGGGTCTGCAAACAGTTGGTATTTTTGGTCTTGTTCGTTAGAATCCAGCATCTTCTCGGGACTTTGGCATCGTACATTTGGGCCATCTTTGGACTTTGGCCGACCTGGGCTTGTATGTTTACGGGTACCTTGCACAGACGATGTCTCTGGCTGCGGAGAAATAGGAGTAGGTACTCCATCTTGATTACCACTATCGTCCTCATCGCTGCTCTCATGCCCCTCGTCACTATCAGAGTCCACGATGAACGGAAGATTGAGTCGAGATTTGGCACTGCTGTCCGCTTTACAATTGTCCAAGGTTTCATCAGCATGGACCTCTGCGAGGACAGCATTGTCAATTTTTCGAAATGCAGGAGCATCATTGCTCATTCTTCTCTTTTTGTTGGATATCGACTCATTGAACCGATATTCGTCATCACGACCGTATATGTCCTCGTCCTGGGTAGCAGCATCGGATGTGGCCTCAATAAAGAGAGAGTCTTCTGGTCGTTGGGTCTTCTGGAAAAAGCTAAGGATGCTTGCATTCTGTTTTGCAGGTTTCTTTGATGGAAGTGTCGCCGTCGCAGTCTTTCTAGGGGTAAAGGATCGGCTCGATCTCGCTGTGGCGACCATCGTGACAACTAGTGACCAAGTACGGAGTACGGGGTGACGTGCATTATACGCAGTAGGGGTAGTCCATCAATGCTTCAAGAGTTGTCTTCAGGAAGTGACTAGATTGAAATTTCGGCTCGGAGGCGGCGTGAATTGGAGAACAATTTAGAAATTCACGATGTCCTTTGCGGAGGTGGGTACGAGGACTTGACTGACCGACCCATCACGACGACACGCCAGTCGCGCGGTAGTGGTTACATGGACAGTCGCGAGGTCACATGCCGTCAAGCGGATGGATCACCAATAGGAGGCGGTGTGAGCTGCCACTGGCGCCGCAAAAGGTCGATACTATTTGAGTTCCCAACCAGCAAAGCAAAGGGCATCGTGTTCAAATTTTTGTCAAATAATACAATAATTATAAGGAAATAATAGCATCGATGGACACAATATTTTCCAACCATAGAAGTCGCCATTCGCCCGGACGACCGCAACGGCCACCCGAGTCGCTTGTTGTCTGATGGTCCAGGGCCAGACAACGAACAACATTTAGCCTCGACGCTACTGTATGTAGCAGCCGTGTCAAACCCCCTCCTCCGCCCTCAAACATGCATGTGCGCATATGCGACGCAAGCAGAGTACCCCGTCGTTTGTATAAATTCTGCTTCTTGATGTTTTTCTGTTTATCTCTCCGGGCTGCTCTCACATTTCCTATACAAAGTGTTTAGCAATATGTCTTGTAAGATGTCGCCCTCCCCCCTTTTCTCTTTTCCCCTGCTATGCTTTACCCATATTCGTACGAATGCAATCTGGACGCTTTAAGTAACCATGTTTTATGCGTAGCCTTGTTCAATACTACAGACTCTCTCAAGCATACAACGCCTCTTCCGAGGGACGTCAGTGCAGCCAAAGGCGTAGAAATGCTCCAGGGCCACGTGTTCTTCATTCAGTTTAACCCGCATATGATCAAGTATGAAGCAATCGACAAGCCAACGGACCCGGAGCCACAGCTTCCAACGGATCGTGGCCTCCATGGCGTCGCGGCGCCCAAGTGCTATCAAGTCACAGACAAGGTCCATGCTCTTCCAGCAGGACTATGGGACTCTGATGTGGTAAGCACGTATGAGTTTATCAACCTTGAGAAGGGTGTATTTATAAGAATACGAAGCCCACTGAATACCATTCTGGAGACAGTCTGGACTGTTCAAGAAAAAGAGGGTGGCGGCGGCTACGAGTTGATTGAGGACGTGGTGATAAAATGCTCCAGGCTCCTGGTCAGCGTCATCAGGAACACATGCGAGGGTACTTGGCGGAGCATTCACGAGAAGATGGTGGCAGAAATGCGAAAAGAATCATGAATGACGGGCATTGGACCGGAGGGGGGAATTTCGTCTGGGACAAGAGCAGAGAGTCCTTTGTACCGTGTGGTTGAAACGCATCGAATTGAGGATACAAGGTATCTAGACAGTAACTAATTAGGGTTGGACACGAGCAGCGATAGAGAGTTAGAAGCACATGTCCTATCGTATTGTATCACATATCCATGACCAACAAGATGTGCGCATTTCTGACCGAGCAATGGATAGGAGTAAGAGTCGTCATATGAATGTTGACGTTGCTCCCCGAGGCTTGAGAGACTCGGGGCGAGTATTGACTTCAGCTGGCATTCCAGACGTTGCTTAGTGGAGGGTGCCCGGCACAGCCCGCTATCCGAGCCTACTAGAAGGCGAACATCGACAGGTACGCATCGCCCTAACGCCACCAACACCAAGGCACCCAGGTACGGACTGCCGAGTGCCCTCAAGAGGCAACAGGGCGGGCGCTTTGCACCTTGACTTCATGTTGGGGGTTGCCCTGCAGTCACACCAGCGTCGGGCTGCCACCCAACCTGACACACTCATGCTTCTCGTTCCGAGCCCCAGGTCTCCACTGCTTCTCCTGGCCACTTCTCGAACCACATGGCGGATCAGAACGCACTTGACAGATTGGCGACTTTCACGGCCATGGCTGTCGGTGCCGAGTGCACACTTCATCTTTCTCCATAGTCGCAGCATGCCTGGGCCCAGGCCCTTTGATATCTAGCCACCTTCCGTCCATGTCCGCCTCGCCAAAATGGCGTCCCTTCAACCGCGTCTAACTGAGATGTCAGCCACCAGACAAAAGGCCTTTGAAGATGCCAAGAAGATGCAGAAAGCCGTCGTCGAGACGTGCACAAAGTCAGGAAAGGATATCCCAAGATATCAGCTCTCGGAGCTGATTGGCAAGGGAAGCTTTGGCCGCGTCTACAAGGCAACCTCTCAAACTACTGGTAAGCTCGTTGCCGTCAAGATCATCGACATCGAGGAGAGCGACACTGTCAACCCCAAGCTGGCCGACACATACAGTGACCTCCTCAAAGAAATCAATGCCCTGAAGCTGCTAAGCGACAGCGGCGCGAAAAATATCAATCATGTCATCGAGGCACTGCCCGTTGGCCAGTCCATGTGGATGATTACCGAGTATTGCGCTGGCGGCAGCGTCTCGACTCTAATGACGCCTACCGCCCCAGGCGGGCTACAGGAGAAATGGATCATTCCTATTCTGCGCGAAGTTGCAGAGGCTCTGTGGTGGGTTCACGGCCAGGGTATCATCCATCGCGATATCAAGTGCGCCAACGTCCTGATCACCGAGGTTGGCGACGTTCAACTCTGCGACTTTGGCGTTGCTGGCGTCATTGAAACCAAGTTTGACAAGCGAAGTACTTTTATCGGCACCCCGCACTGGATGGCCCCTGAACTCTTTGATCAGTCAACTTCATATGGCACCGAAGTCGACATCTGGGCATATGGCTCGTTGGTGTATGAGATTGCCTCCGGACTGCCGCCTAATGTAACAGATGGCATCGACTTTTCCAGACTGGGCACCCATCTGAAGCAGCACACGCCGCGTCTTGAGGGAGACAGATACTCTACCGGCTTAAAGGATCTCGCCGCCTATTGTATGCAACATGACCCTGCAAAACGCCCAACAATCGAGCAAATCCAGCGCCACAAATACATTTTCAAGACGGAGGATGTCTATCCTTCGTCATCGCTAGCTCACCTGGTACGAGCATTCAAGTTGTGGGAGGCACAAGGAGGAGATCGACGCTCTCTGTTTTCAATAGGCGGTGCACAAGGCTTGTCGGACCTTGCCTCTACTGCAGTGGGCAATGATGAGTGGAACTTTAGCACCACGGCTGCTTTTGACCAGCAAGTGTTTGACAATGGAGATGCCCAGGATGTTTACGACGTCTATGGCACCGAGGTTGACTTCAGCCAGCAAGCTTTTGAGGAGACATCAAAACCTCAGAAGGGCAAGTCCAGGCGACGACCACCTCCACAATTACCGTCTGTCAAGGCACCCCTGGAAAAGGTATTTGACCCAAATACCATATCAAACTACGAAGACAATTCAAGAGCATACTACGGACGTCCGTTCCCGGCTCCAGCTCCCACTTCAGCTTCAGCTTCAGCTTCAGATCTGCCACTCCGAGATGAATCTTCTGCACCGGCGGACGTTCGCGAGTCCCTGATCGACCTCGACGCATCGTTGCATGGGGGCGATATATCTCAGTTTGTCGATCTGGGGACCATTAGAGCTGGCGACTCTCATGCCTCAATAGACTACGACCTCGGAGACACGCCCTACCCAAGGCCACCGTTGAGTGACCCTGCCGACTTGAACAACAACCGACGTACCCAGGACTGGAAATTTCCCACCATGCCGCCGCCTGCGTCCGCGAACCCAGAAATGTTTCGATTCCCTCTTACCAGTGATGCTTCGGCCCCTAACTCGGCAAGACCGACGTTGGTGCATCACCCCACAGAGCCGTATCAAACATCCACGGCGTTGAGCGAGCTCGCCCCCTCCAGCTCAAGTACAATGGACAACCGTGCCTCTGTTGGGAGCTTAATCGACCTCGACATGAGCTTCGCAGACTCCGGAACAGACTATACTCGGCCATCAACGTCTCACTCAGATGTAGCTTCCATGAGCGGCTCGGAAATTGGGGGCGCAAATCCCTTCGAGCTTGAAAAACACGCATCACTCTATGTGCTACCAGCGACGGTTCGAGAACCCTCCATCTACGTGTCAGACGACTCGGAGTTTTCCAACGCCGTCGCCGACTACCCCGACCCCTCGTCTGACAACGAGCAGCCCCATCAGGATGATCAAAGCTCGCAGCAAAAGCATCCCCCTTCAAGGCCGTATTCTCTAAGCGAGTTCGCAGACATGGACCCCGAAGACATCACCCCTCAGCAAACAGTCGGGCCCAGCGTTTCCACCTTTCCCTCTACCTATCAAGATCCTCCTCCCCCACAGCCAGTCTTCAGCCAACCCCGCGAATCATATCAGGATATCGTCCTGCCACCTTTGCCTGTTGCTCCGTCACCACACGTCATGCAGGGACAGGCATCAGCAGAAGATGTCAAGAATGAGCTACGTCGACTAGCAATGAGCCTGGGGGATCACTTGAGCCACGCAAATGCCTATTTGAACAGCTTGCCTGTTGGACGGGGCAGTGTGACTCGAATGGAGTCTGTCAGTGATGGAAGCTAAGTAAAGTAATTCTCTTTCCCATGTTTTAAGGGCATATGATGTTGGGACAAGATGGACAATGTACTATGACGTATGATATTGTTGAGGGAAAGAAAAGCGCCTTGCTATTTGCATGACTTTTAGGGTCATAAGCACGGAGTCGGATGTTTTTTTAGGAAGGATTGTAGCCGGGTGTAGAGAGGCGTTTTTCATCGTGACTATTGTAGCTCTCGGGACATTTCTTGATACAAATAATTTTTCCATCTCATTTGCCTGTCATACCATCGCAGTGTGAAATTCAGACTTGTCTAATTAGATCCAAGCAGGTCCCCCATTAATAAAGCCTGATACTCCTCAATAGCTTCGCCCAACTTGATCAAGACTCCTGCCGCCAACATCTTGACATCATTCTCCTCGCCGCCGTCATCCCCACGCGTCCGCTCAAATACACTTGATACCCACTCACGCGATTCTATGACCTCCCTGCCTTGCTCTTCGCATATTCGTCGCATATTGTCTTCATTTACCTCTAGCAGCACCGACATGGCTACCAGCCAGCCCTTGAGGGCGCCCAAGTCCCCTAATACATAGACTCTCACCCGTAATAGCAAATCCCATAACTCAGAAGTGAGTTGTGGCAGGGAGAGCGTCGACTGACCGGCAGCATTTACGACAACACCCAGTGTTTGAAGATAGAGAGCTAGCATGGAGGGGTTCAGAACGACGGGTCTGGAGGAGCGCAGTGCAAATTGGAAGTGTGCCGTGAGCGGGGAGAAGAAATACGTGCCTAGAATGGCAGCAGTAGTATTTGGTATCACACGCATGCGCGGTTTGTTTCGGGACTTGGACTTGTACCGCGCGGAAAAAGTTTGGAGCTTTAGCGCGTCGGGTCCGGTGTTTGCGTCGGCGGCTTCGGCGGCGAGGGGCCCGAGGAACGTCGATGTCAGGGACTGGGCAATGTCGTTGATGGCATTGGGAGGCAGGGGTTTGAGGTTGGATGAGGGGAGTTGGCTTGCGGAGGTTCTGGACTCAAGGTAGAGCTGTTCAATGTTTTCGGGGAGTCGTTTCGAGGGGAATGACGATGAAGATTGGTATTCTGAGATTTCAAGGCCAGCTAGTTCGCGGGCTGATAATCCCAGGGTGACGAGAACTGACGTTCGCTGTGAGAGGGAGTAGTCGCCTTCGAAGAAAGTACGGGCGAACCATGGTGCCATGGCTTTGGGCTGGGAAATTACCAGGGCGACCATGCCTTGAAGGCGCAAATCTTCAAAGTTTTCAATTTCGAATTTGTCCTGGAGGCCGACCAGGAGTCGTGCGAGCTCTTCGGCGTGTGAACTGACTTCGGTGCCATAATTGGCTTTTCGGCGAATGAGTGCGGGAGCTGTTTGGACTCCAAGTTTCTGCTTGTCGTATGACTCTGAGTCTCGTAGGAACGCGATGAGGTCGCGAACATAAACTGGGGGTTTAAGCTTGTTTCGTTGAACCAGGGTTGGATCGTCATCCGAATCTTCGTCATCCGTAGACTTTGCTGCAGTGGGAAGATGCTCATCTTCGTCATCGGACGAGTCAATTTCTTCAATGATGGCTTTTGGGGCTGGCTCGCTAACAACGGGTTTATGTTGCTGTTTCCTCTTCGGTTGCGGTTTTTGAGCCCGAGGTGGGGGCGGTTTCGTTGGCTGTGACGGTGGAAGATTGGAAAGAAGCGACTCAACCGGCCCAATAGGATCCGAGACCTTAGTCAGAGCTTTAAGCCATTGTGCTTCTTCTGTTTCCATTTCATCCATGTGAAAATCGAGCTTCTTAGTGTTGTTGTCGAACATTGCGGATAGGCCTTCTCCAACACACATGCCTAAGAAGCGGGCTCTGGCATTGGTGGAGGCAATCCGATTAGATATTGTTGATAAGTAGCTTCCAGAGCGAAGAAGCATGGTTAGTTTTATGGGAGAGAGCTTTGCTACATATGCCGCACTGAGCAGCAATACTTGGGCGTGGGCTGCAGAAATGGTCAGCGCATTGAACTGAGTATGATTCTGGTTATCCCCACCCTCTTGCTGTAGAATTGCAGTATGCTTGATATAAAGCTGGTCTCCGAACTGGTTCAAGCTCTTCTCCAAAAGCGACGTAATTGTCTCTTTGTCCTTTGCCAGAACAGTCACCACAGCTCGTCGAATACCGATCCCGTCACCTAGCCCAGCCCCAGACGGACTGCAGCACCAATTCAAGAGATGGGTTTTGCGGCCCACGTCATTCTGTATTACACCATCAATTAAGCCAGCAACGGCAGAGACCTCCTCGACGGGTTTCTCATCTTCCAGCTCCAGATGATTCAAGAACTTCTGTGATAGGTATTCCAGGAGTGTGTATATCACTTTCTTGTATGTCTGTGGTTGGTGGAGACAAACTTTGGAGAATAATCCAGGAGATGCACCTCGAGACAGTAGCAGCTGGTCAATGACGAGAGTAAGCAAAGTCTCTATGCGGCATTAGCTAGTGAAATCATTATCTTGGTAATTGAACAGCTTCTTACCCGAATATCCCAAGGACAAGGATCGTTGAAAGATATCAAAACAAGTCTGAAGCTCAGCACCCTCCAATTGAACCTTAGCCCATGTTGCGATGTTTCGTCCTATCCACTTGCTATACTCAACACCATCCACAAGCCATCGACCAGGGGTTGGATTTCCTTCCTTGGCAATAATCTCTGAAGCCTCGGCAGAAATGGATATGATGCGGCCGCTAGTTACCAAGGAGATCAGCGTTTGAGACTGGACTTTTCTCGAAACCGCATCCGCTAAACCAGCCGTTGAAGATTGCCAAATTCCTCGAATCGAGTCATCTCCATCCAAGAGCACGGACAAGAGGTCCAGGAAAATACCGAGGTGTAGGCTAATATCAGGCCTCTTAACATCCCTCGTAGCGAATTTTGATTCCTGAACAAGTGCCTTTATATGTCCCACTACTGCGTTGATGCCAGCGACACTCTGCAAATTCGAAACCAGGTCCACGGCATCAGCAGATACCGAAGCAAAGGATGCAGGCTCTTTTATCGAAGATTCTTGCTGTAGTGAAGTCCAATAATTCGGTACGATTTCTGACACAAGAACATGAATGATGGCAGCGCTCTTGGGACTAGGCACATGAATATTAAAGTCGGAAGACGCCTCTTTCTCAGTGAGGAACCGAAGGGCTCTAATCAGCGAGTCATAGTCTGGCTGGCTCTTCAGGACCGACAATGCATCATCTGCAGAGAGAACCTCGGCAAGGTTTGAAGGCTCCGTAGTTTTCGTAGCCAGCACCGGCTCCCAATCTTTCCTCTTCCGCAAGTACGTCGTGCTCACCGGGGTGAGTAGTTCATCCATGCTGGCTGACCAACTCTGGCCGTCCAGAGTCATAGGCTTGAGAACATGAGATATTGTAAAGATTGTATCGTCATGGGCCGGGTTGACGGTGGCTTTCAGAGTTCATGGGCACTCGGTGGCCTAGAGTAAGTGCAGACTCAGGACCTACCTACTAGGTTCCTAGGTAGGGTAGGTACTTTTGGGTTCAGTGTTGCGTGCCCCACCCTCCACCAACAACCAACAACCAGCTACTAACTAGGTACGTTCCAAGGTTGGTCAATATACAACCACCACCCACCCACACTCTCTCTTTTCTGCCTCTGTCTCCGTCTCCGTCTCTCCATCTCTCCATCCTCTCTCCTCCCCCGTAGAAACAAATCTCTCTAGGGGACTGTACGGCAAATGGATGATAAAATGAGCATATCTACTCGGTCCACGCCAGACGCTGGGACCATAAATGAGGAGGCAAGATGGTGCGTACATCTCAAGCACTAAGTGGCCGAGTAAACGGACGACTTGTTCCTGACGACCTGAAATAGGAAGTATCTCGATCATATACGACGAACCCCTGGGCCGTTTACCGATCCAGAAGCCACTTCTGAAGAATTTTTAGCACAATTCGAAAAAATTAAAGTCCTGTGAGTTTCGTCATGATACATTGACACAGCCTGAAGTCACAGCTAACATTTCACGCCAGCGTCATGTACGTTTCACTCGCCCACGAACACATGCCATCTCACTCACCAACACCATCCCAGCGGCGCAGGAGGTTTGGGATGCGAAATCCTCAAAAACCTCGCCATGTCCAAGTTCAAAAACATTCACGTAATTGACATGGGTACTCTACGGCTCCCCATTCCTTCGCCCTCTAACAGTCTCAATCCCCCTCTCACTGACCTTGCTCCTCTAGACACTATCGACATCTCCAACCTGAACAGACAATTCCTCTTTCGCAGCTCAGACGTAGGTAAATTCAAAGCCGAAGTGGCGGCCAGATTCGTCCAAAACCGCGTGAAGGGCGTCACCATCACCGCACACAACAAGAGGATCCAGGACTTTGATGAAACTTTCTACAAACAGTTCCAGCTCGTCATCTGCGGCCTCGACTCCATCGAAGCACGCCGATGGATCAACGCTATGCTTGTCTCTATCGCCGAGGAATACGAAGCCGACCCAGATTCAATCAAGCCCCTTATCGACGGCGGTACAGAAGGGTTCAAGGGTCAATCCCGCGTGATTTTACCTTCCATAACATCCTGCATCGAATGCCAACTTGATATGCACGCGCCCCGGGCAGCCGTGCCCCTCTGTACCATCGCCACCATCCCGCGCCAGCCGGAACACTGCATCGAGTGGGCGCACGTCATTGCATGGGAGGAGGAGAAGCCATTCCCCAGCCTGGACAAAGACGAACCGGAGCACGTCACCTGGCTCTACCAGAAGGCGCTCGCTCGCGCCCAGGAATTCGGCATATCGGGCGTGACATACTCCCTCACGCAAGGCACCATCAAAAACATCATCCCCGCAATAGCATCGACAAATGCCATCATCGCGGCATCCTGCTGCAATGAAGCGTTCAAAATCGCTACCAACTCCGCCCCGTGCCTGGGCTTCGAGAACAACTACATGATGTACTCTGGCAACGACAGCATCTACACATATACATTCAAGCACGAGAAGAAGGATGATTGTCCTGTTTGCGGGAGGAAGGCCCGTCCACTAGAGGTTGACCCCAAAATTACTCTACAAGAGCTTGTGGACTCGTTTTCTGTGAGGCCAGAGGCACAGCTAAAGAAGCCCTCTATCCGGGCTGAAGGGAGGACGTTGTATATGCAGTTCCCACCGGGGCTGGAGGAGCAGACGCGACCGAATCTGAACAAGACGATTATTGAGTTGGGGCTGATAGATGGGCAGCAAGTTGTTGTCACAGATCCGGCTTTTCCCCTGGAGTTTAACTTTTTCTTCAAATTCAAGGAAGCATAGAACAGCTCGAATTGTTTATACTCCCATTGCTTTGGTCCTGGGTCGGGGTCGAGTAATTTGGGATATATATCCGTCGAATATGCCAAAGCTGCGCAAACTTCAGGCATTGATCACATAATGACTAACTCATCCATGTAGATACATACACTTACCATCAAACATCACCAAGGCTTCAGATGCGAATGAGTGTAGATGAAATTATCGAGAAATATGACGTCATGGTATCATACCGTTTTATCTACCCATAGAAAAGGACCAAAACTGCAACGCAGTTCGCAAACACGAAAAGGAAAATAGCCGTATTATACACAAACTCCATTTATAATGCCCACTTTTTGCCTTGCCCCAATACAAAATCGAGGCTTACCTCGCCATATTGACAACCTGCTGCTCCAGCTTCTTACACTTCAATTTCATGTGCTTTACCGCCTCCATGAACAGCTCATCACTATCCCACTGACCCGTGCTCTCAATCGAGAAGATGAAGTGGTCCCTCCTCCTTCCGAGCTTCACCTTGCCCTCAAACTCAGCATGTCGAAGACACTCTCTGCTCACGGTGTCCTTCATAGGGTCCTTAACCACAGCCTTCTTCTCACCAGCGTGGCCCTCGTATCCACTCCCAGCCTTCTTAGCTTCTGCGGGCGTAACCTTTTCCAGGCCAATGACGCCCTGCGGGAAGCACCTGGCAAACTTCTCGGCGTCGGCACCAAGAATAGGCTTCAAGATCTTAATCGTCGGCATGAGGCGGTATGAAGCGGTGGCAACAGGCGAGAACTTGGCATGGTCAGCGCCGATACCCTTGTGCATGTGCATCGACAAGTTGATCGTCTGTCGGGGCCGCAGCTTGGCGATGAGAATGTCCGGGTTGACGGGGGCGATGGCGTCCTCGCCGCTGAAGAACTCGACCTGCCTGCCCGTGGGGACAAACACAATATCCTTGGCGTAGACGTGCGCGTTATTGAAGGCCTTGAGGGGGTCGCGCTCGTCTGGCGCGGCGTCCGGGTTCACGGTACAGGTGACGTTGAGTTCCAGGCGCACGGTGTTCCAGTCGAAACAGCCGGCGTAGGGGTCCTCCCCCGCCTCCGGCTTCTTGTGCCACTTCAGAAAGTTCTTGAGGCCATCGCGGCCGCCGTTGAAGGGGATCAGGCCCAGCCGGTGGGCGAGCACCTCGTCCTGGATCACCGACGTGTTGTTCTCGATGTACACGTTTTCAATGGCTAGAGTGGGGATCTCGGCGATGAGAATGCGGCGAAAGGCATTGGCCAGCGAGGCATCGAGGCCCATCAAGGAGAAGGAGGAAGAGTTGGCGTCGTTCTGGTGGAAGTTGACGGAGAAGCCGGCTCGAAAGCGATCGAGAGAATAGGCGTGATCCTCGCCGGGGAAGTGGCCCGGGTAGTCGACAGACGTTACATCAGTGACAGTCTCGAGGTTAATACCCACAGTCTATCGCAAAGAGCGGCTTGGTTAGCTTCGAGTTTTGAGGCGACGCAGCACACCCCATGCTGCGCTTCAACAAGCTGCCAGGTACCGCCAAGAAAATACACATTGAGGGAGAGGAAACGTACATTGCGTTGCTCTTGCACTTCTGCGCTAGGCGTGCTTCGCCAGTTGGCCATCTTTTCTGGTGCCATGACTGTACACAACGTGTCAATGGCAAGTTGTTGAGTATTTTTCGGTTGTGAGCCGTGAGCTTGGAAATTTTTTGTATGCCCCTCCGACTCAAGCCCAAGGTCGCAGGCGACGGACAAATCTCCAACAAAAAAAAAGGCCGGTAGCACCAAGTGCAGTCAAAGCTGCTGGACCCACCTGAAGCCAGACTAGGCCTGGTTGGCATATTAGCGCCGCGGGCCCACAAGCTTGAACTTCAACTTCGTAGTCATCAATCTATTACAGATGTATACGGAGTAGTTACAACGTATCAATATTTTTCACTCAAGCTCTAAAAAGACAGCTCCACAGTCTATGCAAATAATACAACTAGTCTTAGTATTTAATACATTATCTTCATACCCCTAAAATACATTTGTTATGTTCCATGCTTCTTGAAATAGCTCCACCAACAATCGCGGTGGCCGCCTAATCAATATCTTCCAAATTCCATACATTAACGCCTCGTTTGCCTACACTGTCCTTTAACTTTGACAGTACGGCCTGACGCCTAGCCCTTTTTTCCATCAAATCACTTTTCTCATCCTTGCTAAACCCACTAAGCTTCTTCCTTGGTGGCGTGCCCTTCATTGCCGCGTCCAGGGACATTACACCAGATGACATCGTCAGGCTTTGGCGGAAGTTACGGGACGGAGTCACGTCTGGAGACATCATGATGCTCTTTCTCGCTTGTGGTGTCATTATTGGAGATGCCTCACGGCTTGCTGACCCGAGTTTCATCTTACGCAACTGCGTCTCCAACACGTCAATGTCTCCGCTTCGCTTTTCAGCCATTGAGGTCATCTTCGAAATGGTGCGCATGATCGCTTCGACTGTGGGTACATTGGCACTTCCCCTGCCTGATGAGCTTGATGTAGCTGCGATTCTGGTCTTGAGAAGAGTCAATGCCTCCTCTGCCTCTGTCAGAACCTTTGTAAAGTTGGTAAATCCCCTGCGTAACTCATTTTGTTGAGCAGCTTGTTCAGCACTGAGGGGTAGCGTTCGGGCTTGTTCAGCCTGTTCTGGGTCCATCCGAGTCATGATGACTCTTTTAAGGTCTTCTTGTTTAGCTCGTAGTCGTTGCATATCTCGTGACAGGTCTTGACAGGCGTCCAACTTGTCATCCAAGTTCTGCACGCGGCCGTTCTCGAGATCTGCGTGCAGCTCGTTATCGAGGACTTCGCCCAATTCATTAATCTCGCATAGAACCCAATCATCCGGAATCTCAAGATCTTGTTTGCTTCGGCCACCTTCCGCGGCGTTCTCAGTGTGACCTTTTGTGAATGCCTTGACCGCCCGCGCGTTGAGTCCCAGTGTATCAATCATAGAGTTAATATCACGATACACAGCTTCCACTTGAGAAGGAACGCTTTCTTTCGCAGGTGGGGCAACATTTGAATGCGCAATAAATTCATCAAGTTGCAAGGTGCCTTCAACTTCGGAAGAAAGCACCTTCTGCATTTCTTCATCCTCCTCGTCAACCAGAGGCTGAGTCTCTTCCGCCTCTTGTCGCTCCCTCATGCGTCTATGCTGAAGCATAAACGGGTCCTCGCCTCGCGGCTGTTTCTCCCTGCTGCTGATGATGGAGCTGCTGGGGTGCATCTGAGACTGCTTCGGTCCAAGAATCTGCGATGCCATACCTGGAGCACTAACCGACCGTGTAGCATCGGATCTAATCACTCTCTGGGGGACAGCACCCCGCACAGGACTAGGCGAACGGGGGCTAGCCTGACTTGGCTTGGGAAAGAGGGTGGGTGCTCCGCGGCTGATTTCTCCAAACAGTGGACGAGCCCTATCTTCGGGTCGGACAGAGGCCGGGGTCGCCCCTGCAATGCCGCCGAACGAACTTTGAGGAGTGAAACCAGGCGTGACGTTCAGGCCACTCGTTACTGGACTTAGGTCCTTTGCGACATCCACTCCGCTTCCTTCTGAGACTTCATCCTCACCCAGGTCACTTTCATCGTCTTCCGTTGTTTCTGGGAGGGAGGGTATACTCGACGGCTCATTTGAAGGGACCCTTGGCAAAACAAAGCCTGCCGCCGCTGGCGCATCATTGCCCTTGGCTGTGGTCGGGGCCTTGGTGGAATCAGCAGGTAGCGAAGTCTGAATAGAGGGCTTCTTGGTGAAGTCGGGTGGCAGCGGAGCATCCTCGACAACAAGAGGGTTTTCGACCAGTTCGGCAACCTTGACGACGTCAGGTTTAGAGCTAGGTTGCGCTTGTTTGACCGTTTTTGGACTGACGGACGGCAGAGAAGCATCGGTTTGGGTCAAGGAGGGTTTTGGGGTTGCAGAATCGGATGATGAAAGCGTAGAATCAGGCTTCAGAGGCGTAGTAGTTGATCCAAACAATTGGCTACCATTAGATGCTGCCGAGGAAGATGAAGAACCACCCACAGGATAAGCAGCTTTGCTCGTTGTGTCAGGTGGCAAGGGAGTTTCTTGCGCTTCAACTTTGACCTTCGGTTCCCCGGCAGTTGAATCGGTAGCTTTGGATGATCCAAACAGAGAAAATCCGCCAGGTTTCGGAGTCTCTTTGGGAGTGCCAAATAAGCCACCAGAAGGTGTTTCTGTTTTGGTCGCTGGTCCAAAAAGTGAGGTTCCGGGAGTTGATGATGTTGCGAAGCTAAACCTTGAGGGTCCAGGAGTTGTTGTTGGAGTAGTGGATTCTTGGGGTTGCTGGGGTGGGAAAATTGATGGTGACTTGCTCTGAGGAGTCTCTTCAGTGGTTTCAGTTGTATCCATGTCCTCATCCTTGGCCAAAGATGTGGCTTCACTGGGTTTGCTGGCGGCGACATCCCCCAAAGCCGATCCGAATGCGCTTCCAAACATCGAGCCGCCGAAAGTAGCGGAAGCCTTCTCGTTCGAATCCTTTTGGAATGGGTCCGGCTTGAAGGACGATTCTAGCTTAAACGGTGTTGATGACGCGAATGGGTTTGCAAGTGGCTTGTCTTGTTTAGCAGCGAAAGCAGTGTCTGCTGAGGTATTGGATTTCGCGGGGGTGCCAAAAGTGCTCGCGCCAAACGTACTGCCCTTTCCGAATCCGCCTGAACTACTATTGTTGCCACCTAATGCTGAAAATCCGCCCTGAGAAGAAAATGCGGAAAAGCCGCTTCCTGTTGATGGTGCTGCAGGTGCTGCAGGTGCTGCTGCATTACTTGTGTTGGAAGTGGCAGTGGCAGAACCAAATGGGCTTTGATTGTTGCCTCCACTAGCAAAGCTAGAGAAACCTGACTGCCCAAACGCAGGCTTCGAACCAGCGCCCGATGCCCACGGGGACGTTCTCATACCCAACTGCGAGGATTGGCCAAAGCCCAAGGAGCTGGTTTTGCCAAATGCTGAGCCTGTGCCAGATGGCGAGCTGCCAAAAGTGCTGGAGCCAAATGTAGCGCCCCCTGTGGAAGTTGCTGGTGTTGTAGTTGACGCCCCCCATGGCGAAGATTTCTGTCCCAGCTGCGAGGAACTTCCAAAAGCCGGCGCTGCGGTTGGTGTTGTAGAGGAGCCAAAGGGAGTTGAGGAAGCAGCGGCAAATGGAGAGGCAGAAGTTGCTGCTGCTGTGGGTGTTGAGGTTGGTGCTGACTGGACTGTACTATCCATCATGGCTAGACCAGAATAATTTTGGCCCTTTTTGACTGCTTCGTTGTATACGAACCACCATGAGCAAAGAACGCCCTCATGGGTCAGAGCCCAGAATCCGGGTAGAGGTCCCGGGGACTGGTCTAGTTCATCGTCTGATGGAATGGGCTTGTATACCCGATCTTTGCTGGAAAGATCCAAAGCTACGCCAATAGTCACTGAGTCATCCATGCTCTCCGTCATAGGCAACGTTGCTTGTCTCGTATCTCCCAAGAATTCAGTAGTAGTGAACACATTGGTGATGGAGTCGGCCGGCTTGTCATGAGCCAGCGGCGTCTTTGACCTTGTGAAAATACCAACATCCGTTGAGGCAGTGGAGGATACGATGAGAAGATCTTGCAGGTCTAAAAAGTCCCTTAACCGCAAAATGGAGTGGTGAGGAGGTTTCTCTGCCCCAAAAGGCTCGACGGGATCCGTTAATTTTTGGAAGGTGAATGATGATGGTGATTGCCGGCTGATAATGTGATATACCGAGCTGGGCGGTGACTCGTGTGTGGTGCTATGGATGGTAAGGAATAAATTGTTTTCCAACCAAATGAGTGAAGACACTGAGGATTCGATGTTAGTACGTATGGCATAGAAAGAAGAGAGTTAGGGCCATGCCCATACCATGACAGTCTCCTGAATTCGGAGGCTTGGGGATATTTCCCTTGCTTTCGCCCTCGGGAGTCATTTGAGAGATAGTCCCATCAGCCATACCAGCGCAAAGCTGCTTGCCCTTGGCACTCCAACTGAGGCAACTCACTTGAGTTTTCAAAGGGCTACTCAAGCTCCGTTCCTTAAAGTTTGCCATGTATAAGTTTCCATTACTGGTCACGACAGCGCAGAGCTCAGATTTCCCCGCCACAGGATTGGGCGCCAGGTACAGCAAAGATTCACCATTTGTGGATAGCTCAAAAGCAGGATTCGACGACCCCTGGAGGAGGCTCTGCACCTCATAGACTGCAAGGCCACCACCCGACTCTGCCGACAAAATTAAATGATTTTCATCTGCAGTGAAAGCAAGATGCGAAATGCGCATAGGCATAGGGATTTTGAGTTGGGGCTCAAAGGAGCGAACTTCTGACTCGCCATCCTTTGGGGAGCTGAAAGCTTTTCGAACGGACTCGGTCGTAGCAATGGTCACTTGATCGGGGCCGGCGGCAGCCACAAGGGCCCTTCGGGAGGCGATGCTAAGTAGACTTGATGTCTGGGCCGGTAAAGAAAGCCATGGTGAAGTAAGGCGAACCTTTGCCTCGCCAGCAAGGGGCAGGAATCCAAGACCCTGTAGTCGCAAGCCGCAATTAGCCATCCTTGTGTTCATTGCACAAAAACCGGCATGTCTTATAATATAAAACATGAACGCTTACCTCAGTCTGTATCGTTTCCAAATCAGGTCCAACGGAAGCTTCTCCTGCTCCAGCTGCACCGCCATCACCAAGGGTGTTTGCAGTGTTTCCAAAGCCAAAAGACATATTTGCGGCACAGATACCAGCCTGTTTAAAAGTGTTCGAATTTCATCAATCCAGCATTTACATGGGCAAAACCCTTGAAATACCAAATGCGTATCGAAGAATCTGTCATAAACGGAAATGTATTCGTTCTCCAGAGCATCAAAGTGGGCTGCAAAAGGACAGCAGTGCCACGGCCAGATGCAAAGCGCCGACAGTAGACGCGACAACTTGCTATCAAAAAGTTGACCTGGTGTCTACAGCCACCAAAAGAAAACGAATCGTATAATTGGCGTACGTGCAAAGATGGCCGATAGTAAAGCAACGGATGAAAAGCAAAGAGAAGCCAGTGCACCAGCGGCACAGTCTGTCGCGATGACCTTCAGAGCCAACTTTTTTGATAGCTCCTAGTTGAGAGTTGGATGGTAGGCACCAGCCACGTGACTGAGCCGCTCCAAGCATGGTAGGAAGCTGAGACCAGTCAGCCACGCTGCTGACTGGACGCCACACGCTCAAGCACTTGCGCGCGCCCACTAATAGGCTGCTGGGCGGAAGCTCTCCTGCCTACGAGTCGAAGGCAGCTTTTAGCCTCGTCATCCAGGTCTCTGCCTTCTCAACCTTCCTCTACGCCAACCACACCCACGACTCCGAGCCTCCATCAAACGAAATCAGCAAGAGCGATTCCGCAATCCCATTCTTCTTCATTCCCGCCAATTTCGGATTCCCTAAGTCGGTCCGCTCGAAAGTAGCTTCAGAGATACGAAACGATCCGTCAATCGGTGTAGCAGCGGAAACACTGCAGACCGAACAGGACGACAACCATCCACAATGCCGGGCTTCGATTTCTCCAACTACAACCGCAATGCGGCACTACATGCTAGAGGCGTGCCTCTTCCCAAGGCCACCAGCACGGGCACAACCATCGTGGGCTGTATATTCGACGGTGGTGTTGTCGTACGTATTGACCCGAAACCACCCCATCATTCATGACCCAGCTTCATACGCCGTAACCCCAAAATCACCCCCGATACTAACAGGTTACACTTTTCCCCCAGATCGCTGCCGATACCCGAGCCACATCAGGTCCCATTGTCGCCGACAAAAACTGCGAAAAGCTGCACTATATCTCGCCCCAGATCTGGTGCGCAGGAGCCGGCACCGCCGCCGACACCGAATTCACCACGGCCCTCATCTCGTCGCAGCTGGAGCTGCACTCGCTCTCTACGGGCCGTAAACCCCGAGTCGTCACCTGCATGACGCTCCTGAAGCAGCACCTCTTCCGCTACCAAGGCTACATTGGTGCGTACCTGGTCGTCGCGGGCTGCGACCCGTCGGGCACCCACCTGTTCACCGTCCACGCCCACGGCAGCACCGACAAGTTGCCCTACGTCACCATGGGCAGCGGTAGCTTGGCCGCCATGAGTATTTTCGAGACACAGTGGAAGCCGCACTTGACGCAAGAGGATGCCGTCAAGCTAGCGAGCGAGGCCATTTTGGCTGGTATCTTTAACGACTTGGGCTCCGGTTCCAACGTGGATGTTGCCATCATCACCAAGGACAAGACGACACTCAAGAGGAACTACATTAAGCCTAATGAGAAGAGTGCCAAGTTGCAGAGCTACGCATACCCCAAGGGCACGACGGCTGTGCTCAATGAGAAGATTATCAAGAAGAATGAGATTGGGCGATACGTTACCGTCACAGAAGTGCCGCTTGAGGGGGAGAAGATGGACGTGGACACCTGAGGATTGAGTTTGATGGTGGGCTAGAAACTAGAAGCGGTAGCGAAGTGAGGTAGACACATGTAACAATACGAATAAACCCCTTCATTTCCTTCTTAAATCCCATCGTAGCAAGTCCTGAGGACTACACTCCCGGTGCCACTAGCCTTTAAAATCGGGAGGATCTAGAGACACAGCAACTAAGTCTTGGAAAATAAGTAATATGTAATATTCTCGATTCATCTTTCAATACTGGGCATTCCGCCACAGGGTATATAAACAAATGCCTGGCTCCTCCAACCGGATCCTTGGTCCAAGAACGAGTCAAAAAGACAGAATATGATAAAAATCCGTTCCCCAGGAACAACATCACCAAAGCGACAGCAACGGTGCTTGTCGTACACGAAATACGAAGGGAATGTTTCCACAAAACGTTGGTCCCTACTACCCGATTCCCAGAACGACGATGCAATGACAAAGGAAGTTTTATTTGTGTGAGTTCCGAAAAGGATCCCGGAAAGACGGTGAGAAATCATGCAACTCTTGAAATTATTTCCACAGGTGGAAAATTGAATTATCTGACGTACTTTCGCAGTTCATTCAGGAACATGAGAACCCCTCGGGTAGAAAGTGAAAGGAGGCAAAGAAGAAGTAAAATGGGGAGAGAAAGAAGAAAAAAACAATCCGCCTGCTTAAATGCTGACTGTAGAAACAAGGAGAGATACCCCGTAAGTCATGCTAGACAGAGCTGCCGACCCGAAAAGATAGATAAATATGGAAGAAAAATGAACTCCGAAGTAGATGGATATATGATGAATGTGGGGAAGACGTCATGGTCATTAGAGATTGCACGACTAGACTTTGCCGATGTAGAGTTCGATGATGTGTCAGATTGCCTATCAAGACTTGAGGCCAAACATGGTGCGTGTACGGGATTTGCTGCGCGTCTTATTCCTGTCCCTGCTTGGTGACGGCTCGTCGTCGTCATTGTATTTGGCTTTGTGGATCCTATAAGATGTATTAGCATCGAGTAGAACGCGAGCGATGCCGACTTACATGAGTTGGGCAAACTTACCAGCTATTTCCCACCATGCTCATTCCTTTTGCTTCAGCCATGCGGTAAAACTTGGCGCTCTTCTTCAGGTTCTTCTTGCATCCAATGCCTTGAGCATAGCAGAATCCTGCTTCTGCAAGGGCGTCGACATCACCCCAAGCTACAAAGTTGTGTTAATTAATACTTCTGGTGAAGAACATCGGCTATTATAGAAACTTACTTCCAGCAATCTCAAAGCATCGCAGGGCAAGAGATTTGTCTTGTTCGATGCCCCATCCATTCATATGAGAGACACCCAGCTCGTAAATGCTCAAAGCAAACTGGGCTTTGCGCGCCCGCCTCTCGGCCACAGCAGCTGGGGCAGCACGGCCCTCTTTCACTTGATCTTCGTCATCCGCGATTTCGATGCTGGCATGCTCAGCTGCCTTTCTCAACCATTCGACACCTTCTCGTTGATTAGCTCGCATACCCCAACCATGTCGGCATGCAAGGGCATATAGCAACATGGCAGTTGGCAAATTCTGTCTTGCAGCTAGTCTGAGATGGTATGTCGACTCATTCAAGGAGCCCTTCTCATGACACTCAATGCCCTTGGCCAAATGTTCTTCTGCCGACATTTCGGAGGCCGTTGGAGCCAAGGATCTAGACGTAGGTGGCGGCCGAATTGTGCTGGCAGAATCGCTTGTGTTTGTAGAGGCTGGTGTCCTGCCCCGGGATTGCTCATGCAGCGCTGATGTGAGGGCTCGTCCTCTTGAACCATCCTCAGGCTTCCGAAGCGCGTCAACTGATAGCCGTGGAGGAAATGACGATGCACCAGTAGCTGCGAGTCTCGAGCTCTCCATGCTTACTTTACCAACATCCATGGACGGCCTAGTTATACCACTCACCGTGCTAATCGCATCGTCAGGAACCGTTCTAGCGGATGAACTAGAAGGCCGAGTAGGAGGCGATGGAGGTGCGCCATTGGGATAACGTTGGGCATTGCTGGATGATTCCATGGGCTGTTCCGAAGTGATCTCATTTGGCTCTTGTCTTTGAAGCGCTTTGCCTCTTGGAAGAGAAAATTTGGAATGAATGTACGATGGAGCAGCACCTTTACCGTCATCCGTCTGCTGATCCATAAAAGCCTCGCTATGCATGCTAACAGGAGTGTGCGCAGTATCATCAGCCAGAATGAATGATGGCTGGCTGTCTGATGAAGCCTGACGGGTCGGTGCGTCGAACCCAGGTGTGCCAGCTCTACTAAGCGGTCGCGAGAAGTTGAAAGACGGCCGTGGAAGGGGGGATGAATCAGATGCAGCGGACGGCGACCTCTTAAAGGATGAGCTCAAGGCAGGGGAATGCACAGAACTCGCCAGAGCAGCACTGCCGGAGGAGAGTTTACGTGGCAAGGAATGGAACGAACTGCCCATATTGCTCGAGTTCTCGTCGTCTTCAAGGACAGGGGAGGAGAGGATGCTTGATGAGCGTCTGGGGAAGAGGGAGGGCGGTGGCACAAGACCCAGTTCATCAAAGCGGCCTTGCTTCATTCTCTCTGGAGACCCTGTAGAAACAGGTGCGTTCCGTGAAGAAGTGGATTGTGAGCTATTGTCCTTGCAAGCGGGTGATGGCTCAGAGTGCTTTTCATGTTGGGACTGGCTATCACTCCGGATCGGTGATGGTGAACGCTCTTGGCGAGCACCAAAGACATGTCCACGTTCCTGGACGGGGTACATTTGTCGTCCCCGTAGAATATATGGAAATGATCCAGGCAAGGCCGGTACGTCAACGTCGGGGGTAGGCGGTATCTGGCTCATGCGTGGGTGCATCGACTTGGGCCGTTCCTCGTTTGCAAATGCATCCTCGATTTCGGTTTTGAGGCCAAAGCCAGAGGAGGGTTCCGGAGATTCAGGATCCGATACAGATTCTGCTGACATTGAACGGAAGTACTCTGATCGGCCTTGGACAATCAAAGGCGATTCAACAGTAAGGGGGGGTAATCTGCTCATCCTGTTTCCATCCCTGTTGCTTTCCTGCAGCTGCTTGGCCAGCAGGCGACTCTGAAGGGCAAATGCATCGAGGGGAGACAGCTCTGGCGGCGCTTCACCAGCGACGTGCATGCGCGGGGATCGCAAAGGCCTGGAGCTCGACGACATGGCAGAAGAGTGCGAATCCGCCCGCAGGTCAAGAAAGTCCGGGCGTTTCGGCATGTTGGACTTGTCGTGCACCGTCAAACGGCGCAATTTGTTCGCATACAAGGGATTGATAAGGTGATCGGCTTGCGATAACTGGAGATGGTTGAAAAGAGAATGAAAACGAGGTCTACTCGAGAAAAGTCGGGGTTTGCGGTCGATGTTGGATAGGGGCTATGTCCGTCGCCAACTCGGTTTGCTTTATTTCATCACCGTAGAGCTGTTCTGATAGGATCCAGTTCTCGAAAAAAAAAATGTGTAGTGCAGACGATGGACAGAGAAGCGCGATCCAGATCGGTGACTGTCTAATTGGATCGCACACGCATTCGAGGAATGAGATATATTTAGTATTGCGTCGTCGGTGGGCGTATTGGGGGCACGAGGCGCGGCTTTGGTAACGACGGCCGTGCGACAAACAACAGCACCGTCGACGATGTCTGACTTGGCGGACTAGGTGGCGAGGCAAGAAACTCGTAAGAAGGGGCAATGTCGCTGTCAACGTCGACAGATTAAGAACAGGTAGGACAGATAGCCGGAACACGGTGAATGGCGACGTCTCGCAGGTGTTATATCGTGGCGCAGCAAAGGTATAATCAAATCAGATGAAGCGTCGAGCGTCGAGCGTCGACAAGGCTCAAAAGTCCAGAGGTACAGAAGGGTCCCCGATCGGTGTGGTCGTCGGCGGGAAACGATTCACAGGGTGAGGGGAGCATCAAACGTTGATTTACTGTTTAACCGGCCAGTCCCAGATGTCCCTTATTCACGGGCATTGGCGTCCCGTCTGCCAGGCTCGCGGGCTGCAAAAATACGGGTGATGCAAAAGGGAGAGGAGGCGAGAAGGAGGCGACATGGAGCAAAAGCACGACGTTGCGCCTGACGAGGGCTTGGGATGGCATACAATAGGAGACGAAATGAACATTGAACCCTGCTGGCTGCTAATAGCAAGTCTGGTTGGTACCTGCGGCCGGGAGCCAGTTCAACGTCCTAAAGTCAACTGGGGCGAGTTCAATACGACATCTGGAGGCACGACAAGCCATGCGTCGCTGGAACTAACGGCCCTGCTGGCGCCACAGCCACTAAACTCTCAAGTGCTGGCTGTCTGAGGCCGTGACAGGAGGCACCCAACGGTTGACCCGTAATACTTGGCTTCCATGTCGTACCGCGAATGCTCGCACCTCATTCCTCAGGCCCCTGTCCCGCCGGGTATCCAGGGCCTGATAATATCAACTGCTTTCATCCCCACCAGCCGTCCCCCTACGCCACCCCCCCTTTTTTGGCAGCGCATGGCTTGAGTTCCCAGGCCCATCCACGCTAGCCACTCACTTCAAGTTTGTCAGGGACCTGCAGCATATTATTATTGGCAATGGAGACACATGGAGACAGCTCCGGTCTGGGGTGCATTTATTACTTCACCTCCTTAGATGTTAACTGGTCGCACCGGGGGCTGCGTTACAAAGTACCAAAAACTTCTTGTCGTTCAATTTCACGTCTCTGGTCTCCCACTTCCAGCTCAGCTGTTCTCCGCGATAGAAGCTCATCAATGTTGGAATACGGCGCGTCTGACTCCTCATCGGATCTGGCGTTGGCCACAGCACCAGCAGGGGGCGGATCTGAATTGCTTGTCACGTCGTACTGACCACGCAGCAGGCAGGCAATAAAGCCAGTCGCGTGACGACAAGGCCCAAACCCAAATATACTCGGGGGATCCTCTTTTGTATTTATTTTTATCTTCTGCCATCCACCGTCCTCCCCAGCTGTGGTCCAACGCAGGCCAACATCTTCCACAACTTCCTTATCGTACCAACAGTGGGATATTCTTTAGCTCGTCTGTTCTGCCTCTCTCCTTGCTCACCTCCAATGACATGGTCGATTGCATGTTGATGTCCAGGTGGCGTACTCTGTGCGTACCAAGTCCTGATCCAACACTCCCGTCACGATTGTCCGCCATGTGCTGCTACCCTGTAACAACCGGCCACCTTGTCAAACTCAACTTCCCTGGTGCTTGGTTCCTTGGCCATTCCTGTTTCGCCAGCTGTCACAGAAGATCTTCGTCGTGGGTTTTCTCCCTTTTTTTTGTCCGTCTTGTTTTCGTGCTCTTGGCATGTCGAACTCCGCGTTTCGTGGTTGGCCAATATCTCCTGCCGACCTTATAATACATGCTTTGCGTCCCAGGACTCCATGGCGACCGCGCATGGTGCCGTATCCATCTTGGAGGAGGATGCGAGCTTGGAATGCTCAACAGTTGCCCTGGTGGCCAACTGCACATTGTTCGAACGACATTGCACACATTATCGAGTGACGACAACATGCCATCACCCGGACTGGACGCTACCCCGTGGCAGGATGTTTTGCTTTCCCGGTCGGCCACTAACCGGAGAGCTTCGCCCTGGTCGTAGATACTCGGCCAAAAAAAAAAGCCCAAGACATCACATCACCACTGCAAAGAGACGGACGTTCCTACATCCACTCTTGCCAATGCATCTGGGCTACGGAGTCTTCCGCAGCAGGTATCGATTCCTCGATACCCCGTCAACCCGTGACACATGAGCAAGCCCGTCAAGGGAGGGTGCAACCCCAGCTGGGTGTATGGAGTCACATAGAACCCCGTACAACTTTAAAATGTATGTGAAACGTAAATTTCATGCGCATCAAATCACAGCCACCAATTGCAAATATTTCACACCCACTGCTCCCCTTCTAATTTTCTTGATCGCGTCCCCAAGTTATGCGATGCTGTCCACATCAACACCGTCACCATCCCCTGTTCAAACGTAGTCATACAAAAAAAAGAAAAAGAACAACGCCTTAGCCCATGCTCCGAAAACAAAAGCCATAAAAACACACGAAAGTACAATTTTACAAGTCCTTTGACCGCATCTTCTTCAGTCTCGCAGCACCCTCGAACAGGCCACGGTCCACAGCGGCGGCGACAGTGAGCGTACCGCCGACAATTGCGCAGAGACCTGCAAGGAAGCCAGTGAAGGTCTTAGCAGGCTCCTCTCTGTTGATCACCTTCATGGGAGAAATGTCCTGCAATGAATTAGTATGTCCACAAGGCTGAGGGAGGATTTGAGTACACTCACATATGAGAAGAAGACGCCGGGAATACCGCCTTGTGAATGCTGACGTTCTGCATGGCCCTCAGCGGCGTCGTTACCTCCCTCAAGACTTCGCTTATGGCTAGTGACCGAGTACTGGTGTGTCTCAAGGCTGCCATCGGCATTGCCATACGTCGACCCGGCCGCGTTCTTGAATCTCTTCTCCCAACCGAGGGGTAGATACGAAGTGGGCACGATCTTGACAAAATACATGTAGTTGAAGGCCGGGTCGCCAGTCTCCTGCCTGGTTCCATCAAGGGGGTTAATATGATGGTTCGTCCAAGGCATGGAGCCCTTGCCTAATCGGTCGGAAACCGCAGCAGGAAGCTGAGGACCGAAACGAAGCTGGTGAATCGTGTGCGTGAAGTCGTGCTGCTTGCCATTGGGGGTCTCCCAATAGTTCTTGAGGTCGTGAACATGCATATTCCCGTTGCTGAAGCTGCGACCAGGGGCGAGATGAAAGTTTCCTACGACCTTGTTGACTTCGAGATGGCCCTCAACGCGACAACCCTCCTCACGCTGCTCATCCAACCTTTCAGCATAGTGCTCACGTGTACACTGCTCGACGTTTTCGCCCCTGCCAAACGCCCAGCCCTGGCTTGCGTATGCCTCTCGGACTTCATCGCAGGTATTGCAGCACCCAGCCTTTCGTGCGTTAGGGGGAGCCGTAGCACCGTAACATTCACCACAATAGGATGGATCCAGATGCTCAGCAGGATCGTCGTGGACTTTCATGGATTTGATATCAATGACACCACCCCCTTGGGATTCAGGTCGGAGGCGGACATTTTTCACACCGTGTGAGACCCCGTGCTGCTGCTCCCCAGAGACATCCATGACATCGAGGGTGAGCAGCTCGCAAGGCATTCTGGGAAAAGTCATGTTGAGATGGATCTGCATTCGCTCTCCTGCACAGGCTCAGTTAGTATTAGCAAACTTTCGAGTTGCAAGAAGGGTAGCGCGTAGCGACCACCCAAAAGCCAGAAGCCAGAAGCCGGGTTGTTTCTCCATACCTCTGCTTTTGTCTACCACCAATTCTGGACGTACGACGACTCGTCGATACTCAGCCCATTCTCCCCAAGACAAGAAGAGCACGACAAGAAGTGATATAATTGTCACGACACCACCGCTCGTAGTGCGGATTCGGGCCTCATCAACCGTTTTTGTGAAGGCATCTAGCCTCGTGAATCTTGACTTGGGCGGCATTGCTGACGTGGTTCGTCGTCAAAGACTCGATGGAGACAGCTGGTGACAAGCTCCCCACCAAGAGGTCGCCTTCAAGGCAACTGGACTTGGAAGATGGACAAGTTCGACGACCACAAGAGGGCAAGAACGGAAATGGGAAGAACGAAACCCTGGGTAAAGCAGAGTGGTTAGTTGTACCAACAGATGATAGACTTGTGCGAACTGGGTGGCTAAGTTGCTCCGGGAAGTGGTAGGTAATACACAATTGAAGGTCGCAAGATCAAAGAATCTTGGACGTGGTTGAGGCCACAGTCGCAAGTTAACTTAGCAATAAACCTTCGAATGCATGTGGGGACAGCGAGTGGCAGGGGTTCGATTGTCAAGGGAGCCCAATTTGGACAGCCTGCCTGTCTCGTACGTGTGTAGCGCGCGAGCTGCCGCGCTGCCAATTGATGGCACCAGACTTGAGTCTGGTGCTTCTGACCCCCCCACACGCGTTAAGACTGGCTGTGGCTGGGTGCTTCAGTGGTTTGAGGACTGCCCTGGGACGCCCCGGCAAATCACCGGATAGATACGGAGTACTTGGACTGTTCCACGCCTCTAACACTTGCGCCCATCAGTCTGCAGTCCCAACCGCAGAGCGTTGTGGCTGCAACTGGAGCCATGATGGGAAGGCTGTCGTGCTAAATTTGTAGGTTGCACATGCGTGTTCGAGGTCCCATCTCCCACCTGCCTCCAACACGCTGAGGCTATCTGCATTGAACCATCTTCTTCAGCTGTCCCTGAAGGCCGTTGGGGTCACAGGCGACACGAAGCGCTCAGTGGCAGTAATTGGCGACCCGTCGCTCTTTTTGTCAGCCTGACGGTTTCCTTCGCGACATCACGACGGACGATTCTCACGATAGGTTTTGCCCTCCCAGCACTTCACAATGTCAACAAGACCGCCCTCTCGCGTGGTATTTGTGGGAAACATCCCTTACGGTACGGTCCGAGAAAAAAAAGCCCTTGACTCTCAATAGTTCTTGATCTTTCTAACTCGACCATAGGTCTCTCAGAAGAACAAATTACGGAAATCTTCAGCCGCGCCGGCAAGGTCGAACGATTCCGACTAGTATATGATTCCGAAACGGGTCGTCCAAAGGGTTTTGGATTTGCAGACTATCCAGACACCGGTTCGTCGAGCAACCCATCCACCGCCACTGGGCATACAGCCATCTCCTCCATCCTCGCTTGAAACCATACTGACATCATTTTCTGCAACAGACAGTGCTTCGTCTGCTGTACGAAATTTGAACGACTTTGAGGTTATGGGTCGCAAGCTCCGCGTCGACTTTTCTAATGAACAAAAGAGTGGTGACGATGACAATAGCCAAGTATGGGCAAAACCACACCTTTCCCGGGTGTCACAAACCTCTATTCGCTAACAAATGCATCAAAGTCCATGTCGAACCCGACGAATGGCACGCCTACCAACGCATACGGCGCACAAGCGATCTCGCTACCTCCTCTCCCTGCCGGCAAAGAAATTCCCCCAGGACTGACCTGCACCGACGCCATCTCACGAACCCTCAACACCCTCCCCCCGTCCCAACTGCTCGATATCCTCGGCCAGATGAAGACGCTGGCTACCTCTGAACCCCAGAGAGCAACAGAACTCCTCCAGCAGGCGCCGCAACTTTCGTATGCCGTATTCCAGGCACTCCTTCTCATGGGTCTGGTATCCCCCGAAGCCATCCAGTCTGTCGCCGATCCTACGGCACCTCTGCCGGCGCCGCAGCAGCCAGCGACGGCGTATCCCGGCTCTGCAGCCGTGTCCGGCTACCCAACTGCGAATAACAACACACCACCGGTAGCCGGTATGCCATATGCGCCCCCTACAGCAGCAGCAGTAACAACGACAGCCCAGCCGAGTTATGGCGCCCCCGCGGCACCACCACCAGCACCTGCGACAGCCCAGGACCCCGACGCTCTGATGAGAGCAGTCATGGATCTGACACAGGCCCAAATTGACATGCTTCCGGAAGCTGATAAACAGCAGATCATGGCCCTGAGAGCCACATTTGCCGGTCAGCGGAGGTAAGATGAGACATGCGCGGCATGCCACAAATATACGAAAACAAATACGGTTATGACGAGGGTTTTGGCCCGGCCCAGTGAAGTGCGTAGGAAAGCGGAATCTTCACGGCCGGGGTTTCGTACCGAAATACCAATTTGCTGCTGCAGTATTATTGAGAGGTCATTCTGGATAGAGTCAGGTTGAGCCGGCGCAATAACGGTTTCTATGTACATTTATGTTGGTTGAAAAAAGTACGTATGCCCAAAGACGGCGGCAATGTCGCAAAACGAATGAAAAGGATAGTTGACGCAAAATGCTACGTCTCAGTATAATATAAGACACTTCGAAAAACACACGTTTCGTGATAAAACGTCACGCTTGAGCATACCCTCGATGCTAAAAGGCGATGACGGTATAACTTTTAACAAACTAGCCGATGCAGTACCAGATACAAGCCAAACTACCTAGGTATGCATGCTCCGACCAAAAACAGGAAAAACCAATCCCTTTGTACTCCTACCCAAGAACAAATAAAATGACCAATAAGTCGTACCGTGGTTCCAACGTGGCTCCAACACCGTGTGTATACCGGGTTAACATGCTAAAAACTGACACCCCCGAAACTTTTGAATAGCTTTGCGAAACTGCTGCATGGCGCCTCGCTTCCTCCCCCCCCCCCAAAAAAAAAAGAATGACCTCGAATATATTTTAC